CTACGCGACTGTACGAGGGGGGTGGGGTACCATTACAGCATTTATGGTACCAACATGTGGGCCAGCACCATGGGACTTTTGCCATAAAATTAAAACTTTCTACTGAGATCGTGGTGTATAAGAAACACTATTAGGATAAGCACAAATTCCTCAGTGAAAAGAGGCCATGGTTTTTCAGCAAAAACAGTTCGATAAAACGCTGATCAATAAAGTGTATGATTTAAATTTGTAGTTATCCTAATAGTGTTGATTATACACCACGATGTCAGTACAAAGTTTCGTGACGCTCTAAATTCCGCTTTCATTTTCTGAACCGATTTAGCCCGTGAACCGATTTAGCTGGAATTTTGAAGGCCAGCAGAAGTAGGCTATATCTATCTGCTATCAAAATTTTAGCCAAATCCGGTTAACGGGAACGGGAGAAAATGAGAGTGAAATTTGAAGCGCTGCGGAACGTCGGTTTTTAGTCTATTTTGACTTCTATTTTGTGGGAATCTGTCTCACGAAAATGCCCATATTAGAACAGAAAGTTTTAATTTTATGGCAAGAATCTGATGGTGCCGGCCCATCTGGTGGTGGTGAAAAATTTTCGTGTATTGAGAGTTCATGTTAAATATTTTTGAATATAAAATTAAAACTTTCTACTGACATCGTGGTGTCAGATTGGAGTTAGATATAAACTAAGATTTTTAGCCGAACCCTTAATTCATCTACATTACAGGGTGCGTCATAATTATTGCAACAAGAATTCAAAGACCGTTTTCCAAACAGGAAAACGGACGTGTCATGGGCGTGTAAAGCCAATAACAATCAAAATTGGACCTTCATGCAAGATGGAGCTCCCGCTCACACGAAGAAGACGGTTCAGGACTGGCGTGTGGCCAACTTTCCCTCAGTGATCACCAAGGATGAATGGCCTCCAAACTCACCGGATCTCAATGTGATGGACTTTTCCATTTGGGCAATCTTAGAGGAAAACACACAAGTTTGGATTCTTTGAAGAAGTCTTTGACCAAAGGATGGAAGGCGATTCCTCAAGACGACATTCGGGCCGCAGTGGAGGCATATCCGAACCGATTAAGGGCTGTTATCAAGGCAAAAGGCGGTCATATCGAATGATCTCTTGTTGCCTTATTTGTTACTGTTAAATAAACTATTTCTGTTTAAAAATCTTCTTCCAGTGAAACTTCTTGGTGTGCAATGCCTTGAGTATCTTGTTGCAATAATTATGACGCACCCTGTATATGATAATCTGTCGTACATAAGAGATTTTCAACTCGCCTTTTTTAAAGAAGTGTCCCGTTTTCTTCAAGGAAACGCTGATCCATATTAATGTAAAAATAATGGGTCGTCACTATGAGATTCTTGCCATAAAATTAAAACTTTCTACTGATATCGTGGTGTCATATTAGAGTTAAGATATAAACTAAGATTTTTGGCCAATTTTCAAACAGAAACAAACTGAATTGGATATGATATCAAACTGAATGCACGAAAATTTTTCACAAGCATGGTCACCATCAGATTCTTGCCATAAAATTAAAACTTTCTACGGACATCGTGGTGTCAGATTAGAGTTAGTTATAAACTAAGATTTTTAGCCGAACCCTTAATTCATCTACATTATATGATAATCTGTCATACATAAGAGATTTTCAACTCGCCTTTTTTAAAGAAAACGCTAATCAATAAAGTGTATGGTTTAAATTTGTAGTTATCCTAATAGTGTTGATTATACACCACGATATCAGTAGAGAAAGTTTTAATTTTAGGGCAAGAATCTGATGGTGAGGGCCCATCTGGTGGTGGTGACCATGGTGGCTCAGAAATTTCAGGTGTAGGAGTCATGAAATAGGGAAAAAGCGACAAAATATCAAAAGTTTACCCTCCCAAAATATTCACTTTGACACCACAACAGCCACTAGAAATTCTGAGGAAAATCGCGCTGCAGAGACTTTTTTTTGGAACACCTTGTATATAAAAGAGCCGTGTCTGTCTGTACGGGCATTTTCTCGACCATGTTTTGAACAATAAAGCTAAAACTTCTTTAGAAAACCTTAGAATATATTGTAGTTGTGCCATTTAAGATAAAAAACTAAAAAATCAAAATTGAGTGGCACTAAGAGGATCAAACCCGGATCTTGCGAGCCGTAGAGAATCGCGCACCCGACTCGAGAGCCCGACGCGCGCCACGCCGACTCGAGAGCAACAGCCGAAAAACCTGTTACCCAGATCTTTCGGCTAATCAAGTTATAAAAGTGAATTCATTTTCAAGTTTCCTTCAAGTTTTCGATAAATTTCACCTTTCCTCGCACGTCCAAAATCCGCCTTTTCGGCTTAATAGAAACATTTTTGCTTTTTCCTTGACGATCACTGAAAAATAAGTTTTTCTGAGTTTCAATTTCAATACTCACAAAACTATTGCCAATTTTCTCATAATCATTCTCTTTGATATCACTCGGACATGCCGATTTGCGATTAAAATGAGAAACGACAGGGTACAATAGCCACTGAATGTCTTGCTTCAGTTTTATATCACAATTTGAGTGAAACCCCGCAAAATACATATCCATAATCACTCCAAGCACATTTCTTCTTGACCACGGTTGATCAAGAGAGTGCAAATAGAAGAGAATCGTGAAGCAAAAGATGTTGATCACCAAATACCAAATCAAAAATGATAAGATCTAGATAAGAACTACACGGTCATCCAAAATTTCCCATACAACTTTTTACTAAAAGTTGATTTTAAATGACTTTGACTTTTGACTAAAGAAAGCTATTCAAATAAACTTTTAAATTAAAATCTTGATAAAATTATACTTAAAAGCCACTAATAAAAAGCCCGTAGCTCATCATAGTTGGCCCTTTAAGTCATGCACAAGTGGTCGATGGCACGCTGCACATCGGCGCGAAATAAGGCAAAAATGCGTTTTCTATTGGATTTTTCCGGGAGTACCTTTTTTAGATGCAAAAAATTGTACTGATTCCGAATCTGAAGGAATTTTTCAAATCCCTTTGACAGAAATTTTTAAAATTTAGTTTTAGCGGTTTTTTGGTCATTTTGTATGGGAAATTTTGTGGTACCCTGCAGTTTGGAGCTCGTAACTCGACAATCAGGCTCTAGAACAAAAAACGAGAAGATGATTTTTATTCTAGAGACTCTCACGAACATTTTGATACAAAAATCATTAAAATTTGCTCAACTCTACAAAAAGTTGTAACATTTTTAAAAAAGAAATGAGAAAATTTTAAAAATTCTCTATTGCACAATTTTTTTTACTCCCGGAAAAATCCGATAGAAAACGCATTTTCGCGCCGATGTGCATCCCCATAATGACGATGCGGAGTGTTGCGTAGTCTAGCTTTGAACGAGTTTTTCTCGACACTGGTTTATGCTACAATGCTCGCTTAGGTATCAAAATTTTTATTTCTATTTTAATTTCCCCACCTTCTTAGCGCTTGTATAAAATCATCAAATTTGCTCAACTCTACAAAAAGTTATAACATTTTTAAAGAAATTTTGCAAAATACACTAAAAACATAAGGGAAAACCGTGGCCGAGTGGTCTAAGGCGCGCGACGTGAATCCCACGCAAAAGTATGGGGTTGTTCGTTCGACTCGCCCGCACACTTGAGTTATTATTTTGCATATTCCTTAATTGTTTTGAGTGAATACGATACATAGCTACATTGTTCTTTTGAACAAAAAAAAATTGTGCAATAGAGAATTTTTTAAATTTTCTCATTTCTTTTTTAAAAATGTTATAACTTCTTGTAGAGTTGAGCAAATTTGATGATTTTTGTATCAAAATGTTCGTGAGAGTCTCTAGAATAAAAATTATCCCCTAGTTTTGTGTTCTAGAGCCTGATTGTCGAGTTACGAGCCCCAAACTGCAGGGTACCACAAAATTTCCCATACAAAATGACCAAAAAACCGCTAAAACTCAATTTAAAAAATTTCTGTCAAAGGGATTTGAAAAATTCCTTCAGATTCGGAATCAGCACAATTTTTTGCATCTAAACAAGGTACTCCCAGAAAAATCCGATAGAAAACGCATTTTCGCGCCGATGTGCGCTGCCAAAATCGACGTGGAAATTACCCGCGGAAAATGTAATGAAGCGTGGGAAATGCTAGCAATTTTGCATTTAATCTACAATCTAAATTTTCATTTCCTAAAAGGTTCCTAAAATTTCGCCTTTATTCTTAATTCTTTCTATTGTCCTATTCTTAATTCTTTCTATTGATTTCAGTTGGAATTCAGCAAGAAAAACAATTGAAATTCTCATCAAGGACTTCTCATCAAGTAACACTAAGTTTCCCGCTGATTTCCCGCCAAATTTGCGCGGGAAAGTCAAAGGGAAACTTGATTTCCCACCGGAAAGATACGGGGGATTTTCCCCACGGGAAACATCTCTCTAATTTTCCGCGAGAAATTTTCCACTCATTTCCCTCGAGAATGTTCCCTCTAATTTCCCGCTAGATGATGGGAAACCGTTACCGCTAGATGTACGCGGTAACGGTTTCCCTCCGCAATTTTCCTGCTGGAAAGGTTTCCATCCGCAATTTTCCTGCTGGAAAGGTTTCTCTTTGCAATTTTCCCGCGGGAAAGGTTTCCCACAAGGTGATGGTTCGGGCTCAGGTCTCGTGAACAGGTGGCCGAGTCGTTAAGGCGTTTGACTGCTAATCAAATGGGGTTTCCCTGCGTGAGTTCAAATCTCATCCTGCTTGAAACATTTTTGCTTGTTTCAAAGGTCGAAGATTTTATCCCACTCGCTCGAGACTATGAAACATTGAAGTGTATTGCTTTAGTGACATTTAACTGACTATACCGGACCAAAATGCTCAATTTGATTACCTGCATCGATTTGAGATTCTCGTTCAGCTGATATATCTTGCTGAGTGTGTAGCCACTTTGGTGTCGTTTTCGATTTCGGTGCTCGTTTATTGAAATCAAGAAATTTGACGTCTAAACCTGTACTTTTAAACCATTTAATTTATCTCACCAGTCCACCGACGAAAGATAAACTATTCCCGATCAAGACACAAGTGAGTCGAGAGAGGAAAGCTGAAACTTTCTTTTTCAAAGCTTCAAGCGATTTGAAATGTCTAACCAAATGTGTAAAGTGAGCCAAAAACAGTGGCCACAATGGCTGCAAGAAACACCAAAATCTTGGGTTGCCATCGGTAGAAATCTTTCTCATACGTTTCAACTTTGATCGTGGCCGTGATTCGCTCGACGAGCACAGAGTTGAGCAAGGCTGAACTTTATGAAAATACGAGGTTTATTTTCATTTCTTTAACACAAAAAACACTTTAGTAACCCTGAAGAATAGGGAAAGAACTTTTGTTATTTATTTCGCAGAAAGTTCTTGGACTTTGTGCTAGTTTTCAAAAGAAGATTTAGAGCCATCAAATGACTATAATAGTTTGAATTAAATTTCATCAAATTATCAGTAAACAGACAGTAATGACTACGCGATTGTATGCCCAAAATATCGTTGTGTTAATAAAACTTGCTTTTATAGATCTTTTCAGAGCTATTCCAAAGATCTAAAGCCATAAACTACTTGCCTTGGCTTGAAACCGCTGGATTTGCTGGTTTTGCTTTAGTTTTGGCTGGACTGCTTGCTTTGGTTTATTTCAAAACTCATGGATTTGCTTTGGTTTTAACCCACTTTGACTTTCTTTGGCTTTGACAGCTCTGAAAAGGCAAGCCAAAGCTAAGAAGTTGGTCTAGAACATTGCAATCCTTTATAGATCCCATAGAAACTCCGTATTTCCTGAGAAATCTTATCTTTTTCAAAGTATTCCTTTCAAAGTATTCAAAGTAGGCAAAGTATGCCAAGAAATAGAGTTCTACTCACTTGGCACAAACGCGAAAATGAACGCCCGAATGTACGAAGCTGCCACCAAAGGAATTGGACAAGATTTGGAAGCTGAAATGAAAAAATCTTGAACCCCAATGAATTCCTACTCTCTGCAAAGATCTGACAGCTTTCCAGCTTTGTTATTTGATAATAAACGATCCCGATTCGAGCGATGGTAAACGGGTAACAACACGAGATACAAATTACCCAAATGAATTGCAGATTTGGGTGCCATATCTAAAAGTCAATTGGTTTTGTTCTATGACATCATTTTTGTTTGATTTGTGCCACTTTTTGTATGTTCCGTCTTGGCAAAGGAATGGAAAAGGGTAAAGGGCAAAGGAATGGCAAAGAAATTGCAATTGGAAATTGAATCCTCGATCTTTTGCTTTACCTTTTGCTTAAGCCTTCTTTAAAGCTTACCGTAACTTTTGAACCAGAAACTTAACTAATTTTTACCAGGTTCATACTGTAATGTCAAGTAAATTTAATAAAGGAAACATAGGGTTTGCAAAAATCAAACCATAAATTTCTTACTACGATTACGGTGGCTGAGCCATTCTTTAGAACCTCGACCTTTAGAATGACGATCAGAAAAGCTTCCTAGACAGCTCTTTATGATCTAATACTAAAACTCAATTTGCCAGACTGTTAGTAGCCTCTACGGTAGTCGTAAATGTTACTGTAACATTCAATAATTTGAAGAAATTCCTAGAAAGATCTAATCCTCGAGCTCTAGGCCGGGTTACGGTAACTGGAGTGTGTCTTACCTAAACTGAGCTTTGAGAATTTGAGAAAATGAAATCTCTTACTAAGAAGTTTACACTGTTTCATTTTAGTACTTTCTAGTACTTTTCTAGTACTTACTAGTAATTTTTCTAGTACTTTTCTAGTACTTTTTCTAGTATTTACTAGTACTTTTTCTAGTACTTCTCCTAGTTCCTGTCTAATACTTATCAGTACTTTCCTAGTACTTCTTTTAGTACTTTTCTAGTACTTACTAGTACTTTTTCCAGTACTTTTTCTAGTACTTTTTTCAGCACTTCTTCTAGTTCCTGTCTAGTACCTACCAGGACTTTTTCTAGTACTTCCTCTAGTGCTTCTTCTAAAAAAACCATAGATTTTACACAAATGAGCTTTTAAGCTTTGTTTTTGATGCAAACTGGCCCGAGTGTGCTGCAAAAACGAGTAAACAAGCGGTGTGATCACAAAGTTTAAAGCGTAGAAAAAGGTTTCAATTGCATAGCCGAATAACACAAATCCTTGTAAATTATCATTATCGATCACCGAAATATTCACATACATCAGAAGTTGGAGTTGCATATTTGTGGAAAGGTAAAATTTTCTGAGAATTCTGAAAAGGCTGAAAAGAGCTAGTCACCATCAGAAACAGGTGAAAAAATCATAAGAAATGAAAAATTTCTCAGATTCGATGAGAAAAGGCCAGGGAGTTACAGACGCGCGAAAGTGACGATCGTTTTTCGAATATGATATTTCATTGTCCAGCAGTGTATCTCTAAAAGTACCGTAATGCCGGTCTCTTGTCTCATTACAGTATTCGGATAAAAGACATTGAGCCTACAGACTTTCCGAATGCTTTTAATCTTTGTTCAGTCATATTATAGTTGTAGTGAGACCAGGGCATTTATGGGCGTTCAAAGCTAATGCTAAGAAATTTGGTTGCGATGGAGATTTACAAAAAAAACTACTTGAGCTTGAAAAATGTTAAACACTCAGTTCGATCGAGCTTCTTGAGCTTTTTGCATCATACTCACCGTTGGAGATCTAGAATTGAATTGATAGGCGTTCAAAGCTAATGCCCTGAACATTTCCCGCACAATTCTCAACCAAAGTTCCATTGACGTTTGGAGAATATCGAAAGAGCTCCAACTCTCTAACATTTTCCTTTCCAAATTCTTTATCAAGATTTCAATTCTAAGAAATTGTCACGATTCATGAATCGAAGCGGATCAAAAGTTGAGATAACCGGGGAATTCTCTCTCAAGAAATAAACGCGACCATCGTGTTTTTCTTTCGCGTTAAAAAGAAGTCCGTTTTTATCATTTTTTAAGCCATCTGAAATTTGTGCAAAGAGATTCACTTGATAATTTGAATAAAGAACTGGAGATGTCCCAGTTTGAGCACTTTCTTCAAAAGAAACCCATTTTGGTGACAATAGAAAAGTTGTGGAGAATCAAAAATCAGGCTTATAGCCAAATTTCCAAAAAGATACACTTAGTAGTTTCCCTTAAAATGCAAGTTTTGTGAAACCTCGTAAATTTGGCATTTCTTGAAAACCAGCTTTTCAATCGTTCTGAACATCCGGATATAAGCTTCATTTTTGATTCTCTACAACTTTTCTATTGACACCAAAATGGGTTTCTTTTGAAGAAAGTGCTCAAACTGTCGCATATGACAATAGCCGGCAGTTTTCAATTCACGAACCCAATAGGTAATGGATTTCTGGTTGATTTTTGTCGACTCATAGCACATCTAAAGGAAAGAAATCGCTCATTTACATCGTAAAAATATGTAAATTTTGTGTTAACTAGACTTTGAAAATTCTCTAAACTAAACTGTTGTGTTCTCTTGTCGACAGATCACCTATGCTATCACTTCGTCCAAAATGAAAGAGTGTGTGCTTAAAAAGAAAATTTGTGAACAAGATTGGGCAGTGCGTGAGAGGAAGAAGCTATTCTTCTGCACAAAGATCAAATAAACCAAAAAAACAAATTATTTGCAGGGCTGTTGCTGGAGCTGATTCTCCAAGCCAAGCCAAGCCAAACTCAAGGTTTTCGACAAAAATGTTGAATGTTGAAATTCTAGATCAAAGCCATTGACTTTGGCTTTTTGGCTTTTGTGACATTTTCAGAGAGGAAACGAACCGAAAAATAAAGATTTCTTTCTTTTCCACTATTCCCAACAAAATCACCCGGTGTCCAACTCATCAAAAAAACATATTGTGCTTCCACAATTAAACAGTTTATTTGTTCGCGGGTTTCTGGCAGATATATCGTGCCTTCCCTCGTCGTGCCTGTGCTTCTGTTGAATAGTAGGAAATGTATGTCTGGTTGATGTTTGTCGACTCATAGCACATCTTAAGAAATAACATCTTAAAGACATAAAATATGTGACCCTGTCATGGAAATTCTCTTCCCTAAAGTTCATTTTAAGAAAAATGATTTATGGTTCTCTAGATTCCGATCCTCAAAGTGTAGCCTTGCGGTCAGTACGGTAAAATGAATGAGAACCTGTGTGTCGATAATTTTTCCAAATAAACAAAAAAGATGTTATTTGCGGGGCTGTTCCTAGAGCCGATTCTCCAGAGCAAACAAAGCAAAAGTCAGATTTCAGGCGAAAATCAGTGATAGACTTAAAATTCCAGACCAAAGCTTTTTAGAACAGCCCTGCAAAACATTTGCAAGAAAGAAACGAACCGAATAATAGAGATTTCCGGTGACCGTGCTTAATTCTCCCGTCCCAACGAAATCATCCGGAGTTCCATCACTGTACGTCCTCTTTCCATCCACACGCCGCAATCCGAACCAAACGTAGAAATCTGTGCCGTGGCATCCATTTTCTGGCGTCGCTTTTGGGTTATTTCTTCGGAAACTCGAGCTGATCATTTCTAAAATCATTTTCGATTGAAGTCCAAATCAGATGGTATAACAAGCACCCAACAAACAAATCCTACGGGCTCTTCGAATCTTCTTCTCTTCAGTTAATCGTCTGTCTCCACTCTCTCTCCAAACACCAACCTTTGTCCCCTTGCTTCCGATAAACCCTGTACATCATTTCTCTTTCATCTCGCTCTCTTGAAAACTTCTATTCCATACACTTTTGGGGTCTGCGTCGAATTATCCATTCTCAAAAGTTCATCAAAAGTTTATGCCTTTCTCTAGTTAGTTTTATGCACTTTCCCCAAAAAAAAGCAATTGTCAAAATGGCTTTTTCTCAATTTCTTGAATTCGTCAGGATGCCATAGTACTTTTCATAAATTCCCGCTCAACATTTGAATGGATCGACGCCAAGTGGGCACCGCTTCTTGTACAGTCCTCCTCGGCTGTTTCCCACTTATACTTGTTCAACTGTCCCTCATCATTGTAAGTGAATTCCTCAAAAAATATTATATTATGACTGTAATTTTTGTTGCTTACATAATAAAAGTAGCAGGAGTCAGTTTCCTTTAAATACGTCCATCCGAGACGGCATTTCCCTTGGAATGATTGAGGGACTGGACAAGCGGAGGGATTTTTGTTGGAGTTTCTGGAAATTTTACTTCATGAACATCGGAAAAAAATCTTATTAATCTTATTTAATTAAAAAAATTTTGAAGAACAAGTTTAATTCCTCACTTTTCCGACTCCAGGAGCACAACTTTTTTCTTCGTTTCGACAAGTTGAGCTTCTGTTGTACCCCTAAAGTTCACAAATCAATAAAAATGTTACATTTGAATAGGAAATAACTAAATTGTGCCCAAAGTCTCAATTGAACTTCTCACTTTTCTGTTTCCAATCTCTCAATAAGTGTTATTGCTTTATTGTGCTCGGCAACGGCTGTGAGCCTAAATGGGATTTTCATTTTCTTGTTTCTTCTCCACCCACTTCTCCTCCTTTAACGCCTTGTTATTGGCCACACAGATGGTCAGATTTTGTTTGAAAACTTCGCAATCACTTCTAAACAAAAGAAAAGCTGATATGATGAATCATTTCATTTTTTAAATCTCTAATGGACTTTCCAACTACCATTTTTTTATTCTCAAGAGTTCATTGTCCTTTGCTTTATGGAAATTTTACATATGTAAACAAAAGGACTGAAAGGAAAATAAAGGAAAATAGAAATTGCAAAAACCGACTTGCTGTCGATGAGAAGCGTCAACTTCTCCCTGAAAGGTTGATTTTTGATTTCATTGCTTAAAATCTTCACCCACTCATTAGCCCGGCAAATCTTCAACAGGTCAACTGCTTGTTTTTCTTCATCTTGTGAAACAGGTCTGAATTTTCGATTTCTTTAAGAAACTCTAACAAAAAGTTACAAATTCCGAGCCTTTCGTGACAATGGACTGTGGGATGGTGTCGAGTTGGAGCTGAAATTTTGGCTTTTGATTTTGATTTGATCAAATCTCCAATTTTCTTGAACTTTTTAATAAGACTTTGATAAGACTTTTCTCTGGTTCAAATTAAAATTCAAATCGAGTCAAAAAAATTACTCACCTCTTTTCAGCAAGTAAGGTACCAATAATTCCGAGAAAAATTCCAATGAATATACCAAACAAAAGACTTTTAATGTTATACGGTTTTGGAGGGAGGGTTTTTGATCTAGAATTTAAGAAAAAGTGAAAAAGTTAAACTGTTTGAACTTACGGTGATTGGGGCAGCAATTCGAATTGTTCAAAACCCATTTTCAAGATTGAGATGAATCCTTGGGAAATCGAGGGTTTAAGATCGAGAAAAATATGATAAATCAAATTAGTTGAAATTGTTACGCCAGAAAATCCTTTTAGTGGGGAGAAATTGGCCGAAAAGAAAAAAATCTCTGAGAGTATCTCTGCTAATTGATTGATGGTTTTTGACTTTTCGATCATCAAAGATAAGATTTAAAATTTCATAAAATTTCCTTACCAAGGAATTCTCAAAGAGAAACGTTTACATTTGTTTTGGGTTGCTCTTACTAAAATCTTGCTGAAGCTTTCCGAAGCTTTCTGAGGTGATAGTAACACATTGATGATTGTCATAGATGAAGAAACTGATCGAACATTTATTTTTATCTAAAGCTTTTTCGCATTTCACGAGTCGGATTCGAGATATTCGATTGCATATGTCAGCAACAACTCATTTCGACCGGATGAGCTCAAATGGGGATACAGGTACAGTACTGGACAATGAAATATCATATTTGAAAAAACGATCGCCACTTTCGCGCGTCTGTATCTCCCTTGTCTTTGAGTTTAAACTATTAGTGTTATACATTTTCTGAAAGCTCTTTTCAAGGGTTACACAATGGTAATATTAATATTTAGAAATAACGCAAAGAGAAGGGAGTTACAGACGCGCGAAAGTGACGATCGTTTTTCGAATATGATATTTCATTGTCCAGCAGTGTATCTCTAAAAGTACCGTAATGCCGGTCTCTTGTCTCATTACAGTATTCGAATAAAAGATATTGAGCGTACAGACTTTCCGAATGCTTTTAATCTTTGTTCAGTCATATTATAGCTGTAGTGAGACCAGGGCATTTATGGGCGTTCAAAGCTAATGCTAAGAAATTTGGTTGCGATGGAGATTTACAAAAAAACTACTTGAGCTTGAAAAATGTTAAACATACAGTTCGATCGAGCTTCTTGAGCTTTTTGCATCATACTCACCGTTGGAGATCTAGAATTGAATTGATAGGCGTTCAAAGCTAATGCCCTGAACATTTCCCGCACATTTCTCAACCAAAGTTCCATTGACGTTTGGAGAACTTGAAAAACAGCTTCAACTCTATAACATTTTCCTTTTCAAATTCTTTATCAACATTTCAATTCTAAGGAATTGTCACGTTTTATGAATCGAAGCGAGTCAAAAGTTGAAGTAAACGGGGAATTCTCTCTCAAGAAATAAACGCGATGATCGTGTTTTTCTTTCGCGTTAAAAAGAAGTCCATTTTTATCATTTTTTAAGCCATCTAAAATTTGTGCAAAAAGATTCACTTGATAATTTAAAGAAAGAAACTCGAAATTGAGTAAAAGAACAAAACGAATCGGGATTTCGTTTCGAAAATTTTCTCAAGAGTAAATGATTCAGAAACCCCGATCGATAATCCATTGCTAAATGGCTCTCCTCGTAAATCTTAACAATGCTTTTGGCTTGAAATTTTCCACAATTTCTAGCGACCAATGGACTAAATGAAGTAAAGAACATTGGAAGCTTCAGAGTAACTTCACTTTAATTTTCATTATGATTCTTGATTAACTAGGCTATACTTGACACTGAAAAGAAGGAAAATCAGAATAAAAGATGCATATGTAGGTGATGATGCTGGGCATGTAGTTTGTTTTATTTCAAGGTCACCCAGCACCAAGCTTTATCGAGACTTACCTTGTTTAGCAATAAGTAACAACAGTTTGGATAAACTAAAGGAAACTGAAGTATAGATTACAGAAACTTTCGAAAGTCTTAACAATGCTTTTGGCTTGAAATTTTCCACAATTTCTAGCGACCAATGGACTAAATGAAGTAAAGAAAAAAAAAAAAAAAAAATTTATTTAGAAAAGCTTCAGAGGAACTTCACTTTAATTGTCATTATAATTCTTGATTAACTATGCTATACTTGACACTGAAAAGAAGGAAAATTAGAGTAAAAGATGCATATGTAGGTGATGATCCGGTGTATGGCGTGAAGTGAGTCGAATTTTGTGCTCGTTTCTTAATCGATTTGTCCATTCGCTCGAGATTCACATTGCACATATCCTCATCACAAAAGCGAAACTCCGATCCATAAAGGTATTTTCCGACCTAAAAGTGAAACACTAGAAGATAATTTGCATTTTCTAAAAGGTGAGCAATTTGCAAAACTACCATATCTTTGTTTTAGATTTTGCCCGTTTTACTTAATTGTTTCCATTCGATTTCCAGTTTAATTCCTTATCGAATGCGATCAAAATTAAGTAGAAAAAAAAGCCGCTGGAAGGAGTACGGTAGTTTTCAAATGATCCACTTTTTAGAAAATCCATTTTCTTCTCACCTCCAATCTTCCACTTGCTCGCGAGTCATCCTGCACAAAACAGCCTTGGGTTTCTGGCTCATAGCTCTAAATTTTAAGACGATATTCACGACGATACGACCCAACGATGGGCAGCACTAATCACGATCCTTTTTTGGTGTCAACTCAAGTTTTTAATGACTTTTCTTCTTTATTTCGCAGAATGTTCTTGGTAAGTTTGTACTAGTTTTCAAGAAAAGATTCAGGGCTTTCGAATGGCCAGAATAGCTTCGTTTATCGTTGAATTTACACCAAATTATCAGTAAAACAGTTAGCGACTACGCGAATGTACGTTCAAAACACCATGGTCGAAAATGTGTTAAAATAACTGATGCTTAAACTGTACTGGATATTGGATGAGATCGGAATTTTACAGTATCTTTTCAAAGCTAAAGTCACTACCGTACTAGCTACTGTAGTTAGGCTTAAGCCAAAGATTTTACCGCATTCAAAGTTATAAACTAACGTGTGAACCGCGGCGTTCGCCCGGCACCACCCAATAGCACATGTGTCCCATGCAAGTGTTCCCTGAAAGCGGGAAACTCGATTTTCCTTTCCAAAAACCATTTACCATCCATCATTTGGCATTTCACCAGCGATGGAGCCATATTGGTAATGTTGATTGTGTTGCAGAAATCCTAGAAACCGAATTTGAATCTAAATTTTTCGCTCATTTACCCAATCACAGAAAATGCGATACACTTTGAGGGTTTTCCCGGGTTGCACTGCGTAAACCAAACCATTATAGGTACTAAAATGTCAAATTTGATGTAATTTCTATGATTTTACAATTAATATGGCAAATAGTCACTAAAATTTGGGGGAAATTGTATCCAAATGATGTATCCATTTTATATCGAGCCCTCAATACAGTAGTGTTCAATTCAACAACTTTGCCTAGATTTTTTCCCCATTTTAAGCTGTTAAATTGGTTGTTTCTCGTCCTCTTTTCAATTGTTGCAAGTAAAGCTCCACATAATTGTGTTAAAGTTTGTTCTCCTTTTGTCTCTTGCTCATGTAATAAGTGTAAAAGTGTAAAAGTTTCCTAATTGGCACAAGTTCTGACTTGTCGGCAAATTGGGATAAAGGCGCAGTCAAAATACAATTGAGAGAGCAAGAATAACTCCAAAGAAAGAAACAGCTGGCTAGAGTTAAGAGTAAGAGTAGTTAAGCCTAGCAGAGAAATAATTTCCTAGATTTCTTAACACATTCACGATGATGGGTCGTACTAACGACGATCATTTTTGGTGTCAACTTTTTAAGGATTTTGTTATTTATTTCGCAGAAAGTTCCTATGAACTTTATACTAGCTCTCAAGAGGAGATTCAGGGCTTTCGAATGACTAGAATAGCTTCGTTTATCGTTGAATTTGCACCAAATAATCATTAAAACAGTTAGCGACTACGCGAATGTACGTTCAAAACACCATGGTCGAAAATGTGTTAAAATAACTGATGCTTAAACTGTACTGGATATTGGATGAGATCGGAATTTTACAGTATCTTGAAAGCTAAATTCCCTAGTGTACTAGACACTGTAATTAGACTGTAATTCTCGTCTACTTTTCAATTGTTGCAAGTAAAGCTCCAAATAATTGTGTTAAAGTTTGTTCTCCCTTTGTCTCTTGCTCGTGTAAGTGTAAAAGTTTCCTTATTGGCACAAGTTCTGACTTGTCGGCAAGTTGGGATAAAGGTGCAGTCAAAATACAGTTGAGAGAGCAAGAATAACTCTAAAGAAATAAATAGCTGGCTAGAGTTAAGAGTACGAAGAGTACTAAGAGTACCAAGAGTACTAAGAGTACTAAGAGTACTAAGAATACTAAGCCCTTCTTACAACTAACGGCAATTCATGAGGCCTCCCATAGCCATTCCCGTCATTGTAGAACCACAAGATTTGTGTGTGCAACTCCCAAATCTGAAAAAGAGCATCGGTTTGCTTTCTCCACGCACCATCGATGAATAAACGAGCTCGCTGAAAGTCGTTCGTCTCAACGTAGTCGTTTTGCTGAAATTAATACAATAAAGGCTACCCACGATAAAAATGGTAACGATTTCCGTTAATCGTTGCACTGAAAATCTCAATTCTTCAAATAAAAATTGGGATCTTGGGTAAGTTTCTGCTCAACGCAATGTTTTTGCAGTGATAAGATACAACTATCAATAAAAGTAGGTCGGAAAGTTAAACAGTGCATAGCCAAACCCAAGCATTTGTCAGTTCGTTTAGCCACTAACAATAAATATTTAAGAACGTGTCATTTCGAAGCAAATCACCAACCATGATTTCGGCTTTTTAAACATGACTTACTAGACTCGACTAGACTAGACTACAGTCCTACAGAAAGGCTTATTGCTTCAAGCTCTTCAATTTAAAGAAAAGTCACCCGGTTTTGGGTACTTTCTTGTCTGTTACTTGTTCTGTTGCTGACGATGAGACTGGTGTTGTTAGCTGCTTTTGCTAGCTCCAAGACATTTTCGTTTTTGATAAAAGCTACCAGCAACCAATACTCCGAGTGACACATTGGAGCCATGAAAGTGGTGAAATTTGCGGCGGTCAGTAGAGGTAAATCCCCGTTTTGGTCGAGTGTGACATTGTTCTGAAATGGCACAATACGTAATTAAGCTTTTTACTTCAAAACCGACTAAAAATGAATGACATTGAACTCGGTATGGCTCTCGAATTGTCACTGGATATGTCTCATTTGACCAAGTTGCTTTCTTAATTTGAATATCGAGTACGGGAAGCTTTTTGTTGCAATCATCGACTCTGAAGAATTGGTTATGGACTTTTTGATGGAATTGGTTCATCCTGAATCGTAGCAAAGTGGTAAATCAGCAAATCAGCTTACAATTAGAATAAGAAACTTTGAAAAACTAAAGTCCAAACTGACAGCTTTTTTGAGTTTAGTGAAAATTGCTCAAGATAGTTAGCGACTTTGAAACACTCAGAATTTAAAAGCTTTAACTTTCAATCAATCTTAGCTTTAGTAAAGGCAGTAAAATGAAATTGAGACCGCTTAATTTATTTTAGACTCACGAGCACAAACAAGCATAAGTTGAAGAGGGATTTGGCTCAGTCAGTGATGGCATGAAACTGATTGGATCAACATAGCAACCATCCGAGATGTTCCAGTACTAAAGTTTTCACTGAATAGCTAAATAGCTTGTTAGCTGAGCGCATTTAACACAAATTCGACTCTACTTTCATCCCATGAATGCATCCATAAGCTGTCCGATTGGCGCCTGTATCTCGAAAAACGTAGCACATCTCTCCCGTGCAATTCACAGCTCTTTGGCTAAATTGTAATAGGTTATTTGCAATAGATTAGTTGCAAATTGAATAGCTTAACAAGAATTGACATAAATTCTTTCATTTTTCTTCAAATCTTATAGTTCTGGCCAACTTGTAGATGATGGTGGTCTTCCCGAAATCTCTCGGTCGCCAATCGAGTCTCAAATCGCATCGAATCGACTCGTTTACTTTGAAAAAACAATAGACAAGAAATAGTTTTTGTAAAGATTTCATCAAAAAATCGATAGAAAAAGCAAATTTTCTATTGAAATTTCTCAAATTTAATCACTGTATGGGCTAAATTAGGGGTTTCGGTGGAAATTGGAAAGTCAAGTGCTTCAAAAATACTATTACATCACTCAGAAAAGGAGATTCGGTTTTATTGGAGATCTAGAATTGAATTATGTTTATAAGAATTTATGGGCGTTCAAAGCTAACGCCCTGAACATTTCCTGCACGTTTCTCAACCAAAGCTTCACAGCTTCAACTCTCAGTCAGCGGTGACATGAATGAAAGATTGAAAATATTGAAATTTCTCAAATTTAATTACTGTATGGGCTAAGTTCGGTGGAAATTGGCAAGTTAAGTGCTTCAAAAATAATATTACATCACTCAGAAAAGGAGTTTGGTCGAGATTTTTAGAAAAATTAAAAATTCCCAGTCAAAAGTTGGTATTGTCGTTGATTGAAAGAGCTGAAAAAGCACGATTAAGAGCTACAGAACAAAACAGAGCTACATAACCAAGCCTAAGCCCAGTCTCTGTTCTTTGCATCAAGGCAGATCCAAAACCTGATTTGAGTCTGGCCTTCAAGATAAGTCATAGTCAGACCAGAGCCTAATCTAGCCTGCCCAACACCTTTGGTTCTTTTATTTTTCAAGTTTTGTATCTATAATTAGGGAAAAACCCTGTGATTGCTTCTTTGAAAGCAGCTGAAACTCAAAAATTGAACTCAATTCTCGTTTTCTTCAATCAGAAAGAGGGAAAAGACAATCTTTCTCTTTTTCTCAGCTTTTTCCCACAAAACCGACCCGATCCAATTAGCGAATAATAATTGAAACTTTAGAAAACACTTTTGCAACTAAATTTTTGTTTTTAAAAAGATTTATCAATAATTTTTCTTATGAATACTTGTTGAATCAATTTTTTCGAACTTTGGCTACCAAACTCTTTCGAATTTTAGCTAACGCTAGCTTCAAAATGTCCTTAACTGTGCAACAAATCGACGAATTGAAAGCCGCCTTTGCTTCGTTTGATAAAGACGGAAGTGGAACGATTGATGGAAACGATTTGGGTCATTTGATGAAAACATTAGGAGAGAACTTTAAAGGAATCGAGCTACAGGTAATGGGAAATAAGGCCAGCACTCGCTGGAAATTAAAACAATAAAAAAAGCGTCATTAAAATCATAAAACACCTTTAAACTCTTTGAATTTCGTAGATTAAATTCCAAGTACTCTTTGAGTTTAAAATTTTGGAAAGATTCGGTTTTAAAAGTTTGGATTGATACTTTTTGGATTGACTGGAAAATTGGCCTATTTTTTGACGAGAAATTGCTTTTCTTAAGTCAAATCAAGTCCAGAATCGGGTATTGAAACATTAAAAGAAGTTTGGAAGTTTTCTTTTGGAGTTTTGGAGCGTTTAGAAGTGTTTAGAAGTGTTTAGAAGTTTTGGAATCAAGCTGGCTTTGTTTTTAAAGGTTGTCTGTTTAAACCCTTGATGGGGAAGATTATAAACTATTTTCAAAGATTATAAACTAATTTTCCAACAAAGTTATAGGCTTGCACGAATCAACGCGTCGACTTTTCCACTCTTCAGCAAATGATCTCAAAGAAGAATGACGATTCGAAAAGAGAATCCCATCTCCGAAAGGCTTTTCAGGCAAACATTTATATTTTATCGTTAAACTGATCAACAATTTCTGTATTTTAAGTCACTTTTCAGATGTTCGACAAGGATCAAAACGGTTTCATTTGTCGCGATGAGTTACGACAAGCGATGTTGGCTGAAGGGGAAACGATAAATGAAGCAGAATTAGACAAAATGATGGCCGAAGCTGATGTGAACGGAGATGGATTGGTGAATTATGATGAGTTTATCGGTTTCTTGTTCAAATAAAGTATCGATTTGAAGACAAATTACAACGTTCCTACCTTTGTAGTCCGTTTTCGGACTTCATAAAGTAACACGCATAACACAACAATGTACTATAGTACAAAGCACTGCTACAATCGTACTGTAGTCAGCACACTGTACTGCAGTATGTTCAATGTGACAGTACTTACATAATAATACTGTAGAATACTGTACGACTAGAGTCCATAGTCCTATGGTAGAACGTAGTACAGCATCAAAAAAGCTTGATATAACATAGTATAGTATCAACAAAGCTCAGTATCGTAATACAGTCGAACCTCTCTATAACGAACCTCGATATAACGTAAACCTCTCTATAACGTAAGGCGTGACCGGTACCGGCCGACGTTAAGCTATATAAAACGGCACTCTATATAACGTAAACCTCTATATAACGTAAGCTATAGCCGTCCCGTGAGTCACGTTATAGAGAGGTTCGACTGTACTAAAGTTACCATGAAGTTACAAAGGTTTTTAGCTATTTAATGTCTTAATTAAAATCAGACTTTTTACTAAATCTATCTCATAAATGCAAATTTACAAACGAAATACAGAGAAAGATTATGGACTCGTGGAATTACTCGTGGAATTTGTCAGATCTCCATCACCAAGCGGTACCCAAACCGTTGGCAATGGGCACTTTCGGGGCCCTCTGGGCAATGGGCACTTTCCAATGTTTACTCAAAATCATTGTGCCGACTATGGCACAAATTGTAGCCACAATTCCGAGGAATCCAACCAACCATTTTTTTTTCTTTACAAAAAGCTAGAGTGCCTTCCAGGATTATTTAAATTTTAGATTTTTAAAAATTTCAATCTTTGAGCCATTTTTTATTTTGAACAGAACATTTTGAAGAACTTGAGATTTTGGCGTGGTTGAGCTACAATGGAGAAACACCAATATTTTTTTAGATCTCTGACTTTTTCTAAAAGACTAAGATTCACACCTTTAACAAGTTTTGGGCAAAAAGCGTAAAATGCAAAAAAGTTAGGTCCTGGCCGGGATCGAACCGGCGGCCTTGCCCGTGTAAAGGGCACGTGATAACCACTACACCACAGGACCACGTCTTGTCAGAGGCCGTAAGCGTATTTTAAAGCATTTTACAGCCAAATCTTGATAATTTACGAAGTAAAACAGACGGCTTTTGTATCCGAGAATCGATCGTAAATTCGTAAATAAAATCGAAATAAAATTCGGTACTCTTCGCTGATCGGATAGAGAGCGTCGGTCATTGGTAAATAAGCGCCATGAAAATCGATAATCCCAATTGTGTACCGTTTTGCTTTCGGATTTCCTGCGCACGCCTGAAAAATAGATCTTAGGGTAGGGAAAGCATTAGCAATATGAAACTTTAGACATCTAAAACCTTAACCTCAGCATTTCCATCAGCCCTTTATAGTAAAAACTCGAATAGAGTATGTTAAAGCGTTTCCTAAAGCACGCGAACTTTTGAAACTATCGTAATCCTGTCTGTAGTGAATCTATCTCTAGTATAATCCTTTCTGTGACTTCTTTCAAAGATATCAAAGATCAAAGATCCAATTTTAAACCAGAATATTCCATTCTATCCTTAATATTTATAGCCAAAGCTCCCAAATAGCCGATTGACAGCCGGGCGCCGAAATCTCCACAGCATTTGCGAGCTTACGCTTAGCTTAGCTTAGCCAAGCTTACGGCACTCAGGATTCCCAAGTCGTCTTCGATCCAAGTACTAACCGAACCCAACGTTCATTAACTTGGCAGATCAGACGAGATGCCGTGTTTTCAACGTGGTATGGTCGTAAGCAAATGTGCGGCTGTATCGCCTAGATTCCCCAAGAAATCTCTTAAGAAATCCAAATCCACAGCTTCACCCTTTCATCTCTCATCGTAAGCTTTGTTTTCACTATCTCAGTTGTTTTTCCCCGCCCAACACTCGCTTACCCACCGTTTCACTAAAAGTAAATCAACACTCCTCCTTTAAACTATGAAACATGAAATCACACTTCAAAGCCATTCAAATTTCTAGTTTATTTGTGCATCCCCTAGCGGGAACGCGTTCCAAAATTTTTTTCGAGACACTGTTGGAAGGTCTCGGGGTTAATGCTAACCTCAAACTTGGGTAATTAAACCGAAGAGTGGGGTTTCTGTCGCCCTATGTGGACCGGCCGTATGCCAGATGCCGCTTTTTCCTACGAGACACAAGGAAAGTACACACTGTCGTGTCGTCTCGCGTCTGTGGCTGATGCTCTCTCGTGTTGCTGGTGGCCGCCTATTTCACTCGTCTTTCATCTCGACGCATATTTGCCCGAATAACGAGTGAAATAGGCTCGAGAACACAAGAGAGCATCAGCGCTCGCAGACACGCGAGACGACACGACTGTGTGTACTTTCCGTTTCATAGTTTATCAAGTGCAATTGTTGCTTCACTTTCAGTGAAACGGTGGCGCGGAACCATACGGGAAATTGTGCAATATACACTGCTGGACATAATTTTAAAGGCAGTCGAATTTTTACGATTTTTTGGAAAATATCGAATATCCAATAAAATTGTCTTTTAAACATCATTACTATCATAATTTTACGTGTATAACTGTAAAAATCCGGGAGATGATAATTGAAACTTTTAAAGAAAAATCAAATTTATTCAAAAAGTGCCTCTGGCAAGTGGTCATAATTTTAAAGGCATTTGAAAAAAAGTTAACAATTTTGTCTTAAATCATTTATTTTGTACTTTTAATGCATCTTTTTTGCATTTTTTAAATGCTTACATATCATATTTTCGATATGGGTAAAGGAAAACGACTTTCCGATCAAGAAAAAGACATCATTGATGGCTTGAAACTGAATAACTGGAGCGATCGCGATATTTCGGCAGAAATCAACCGATCTCCTTCTGTAGTCGATTCTTATGTCAGGGATTCAACTGGCTATGGTACCAAAAAGCATTCTGGAAGGAAACCGAAAACTACAAAAAGGAATCGACGAGCAATCATTCGAACGGCCTCAAACTCAACAGCAACCTCGTCAAAAATCAAAGCACATCTGAATCTGGGAGTCTCCTCAAGGACAATTCGAAGAGTTTTATCGAAAAGCAAGTTGCTTGCTCGCAGGCGCATGCGAAAAGCCCCCTTTATTACGCCGATAAATCAAAAAGCTGTTGGACTTCGCAGACAAGAACCCGCAAATAGACTGGAGCTCAGTAAGTCAATTAAGCTTGTGTTTTATAAATTTTCATTGCTTTAGATTGTTTGGTCAGATGAAAAGAAATTCAATTGTGATGGGCCGGATGGTGGTCGCTACTATTGGCACGACCTACGTAAAGACAAACTGCACTTTTCGCGAAGAAACTGCAAAGGAGGAGGAGTGTTGTGCTGGGCGGCCTTCTCATCGACCCGACGGATCAAATTGGTTTTTGTGCCAAAGAAAATGAACTCTAGTCAATATCAGTTTGTGCTTCGCCGATCTCTACTTCCCGTCTGGAGCCGCAATCGTCATCGAAATTTGGTGTTTATGCAGGACAATGCGCCAATTCACGCAAGTCAAAGCACGACAGCCTGGCTCCAAAGGAAAGGAATCCCACTCTTGGACTGGCCAGCCAATTCACCGGATTTAAATCCGCAAGAAAACATCTGGGGCTATATGGTCAGAAAGATTTATGAAGGAAATAAGACTTATGGAAGCGTCAGCCAGCTTAAAAAGGCAATTATTAAAGCTTGGCAGACCGTCGATCAGAATCTCGTTGATAGCCTTGTGGGCAGCATGGAAAATAAACTTTTACAAGTAATTCAGCGTCACGGAGATCCAATCGATTATTAATTTGTTAATTTTTATCAATTTTTGCTCATTTTGTTAAAATTGTTAACTTTTTTTCAAATGCCTTTAAAATTATGACCACTTGCCAGAGGCACTTTTTGAATAAATTTGATTTTTCTTTAAAAGTTTCAATTATCATCTCCCGGATTTTTGCAGTTATACATGTAAAATTGTAATAGTAATGATGTTTAAAAGACAATTTGATATTCGATATTTTCCAAAAAATCGTAAAAACTCGACTGCCTTTAAAATTATGTCCAGCAGTGTATGGTAGAGAAACTTTAAACTTTTGAAAAATACGGGTTCTCCTAAAGCTGAAAACTGATCCCCAACATTATTTTGGCGTTCTCATGCCAATAAGATTGTTCGAGTTTTCGGAGTAGTTGATTACCTTTTGAAGAATTTCGATACTTCTAGCTGAAATGACGGTGAAATGTGAGCGTCCGAGGGGGGACTTTGGGGAGCGCGCGCTTTCTGGCACAGATAGACGAGAAAACGAGAAATCGCCCCCCCCCCCCTCCCAACGCACTCGGTTTTTAATTCTTAAAGGGTCTTAAAGAAACTAAAGTTCTAAATTCAAAAAGCAAGCGATTTACCCCGTAAACCTTTGCAAGAATTGGTTCCCAAGTCCCAAGAACGATCGGCAAAAAAGCAAAAAAGCACTCAGGATTCCCAAGTCGTCTCCGATCCGAGTATTACACGAACCCAACGTTGATTAACTTGCCAGATCCGGCGAGAAAATGAAATCAAGCCTCAATTTTACAGTTTCAGTTTATTTGTGCATCCCCTAACGGGGATGCGTTCCAAAATTTTATCGAGACACTGTTGGAAGGTCTCGGGGTTAATGCTAACCTCAAACTTGGGTAATTAAACCGAAGAGTGGGGTTTCTGTCGCGCTATCTGGACCGATCGTGTGCCAGATGCCCCTTTTTCCTACGAGACGCACGAAAAGTACACATAGTCGTGTCGTCTCGTGTCTCTGCCAGGGCTGATGCTCTCTCGTGTTGCTGGTGGCCGCCTATTTCACTCGTCTTTCATCTCGACGCATATTTGCCCGAAGAACGAGTGAAATAAGCTTGAGAACACGAGAGAGCATCAGCCCTCGCAGAGAGGCAAGGCGACACGACTGTGTGTACTTTTCGTGTGTCTGGTAGGAAATAGTGGCATCTGGCACACGATCGGT